AAGTGGTGCAACACAACTCGATTTAAAATAAAACCCAGATCAACAAATCCTTGATTAGCTCTAAACTTTGCTTAATTTAATCCTTGTTGGTGCAACCCACCGTAAAAGTCGAAGATCAAAATTATAATTAAAATTAATTTGCGATTACCGATCATGATTGTTGTGATTTGAGAAATATCATTAGAATTATTGCACCACAAATCAATAGAAAGTCAACTCTTACACATGGTTTATTTTACCTCATCTAGTTTCCTGATTTATTATATTATTATTAGTGCTGTCAAACAATTAATCGCGATTAATCGCATCCAAAATAAAAGTTTTTGTTTACAATATATCTGCGTGTGTGCTGTGTTTATTTATTATGTATATATAAATACACACACATGCAGTATATATTTTGAAAATATTTACATTTGGGTGGGGTGGGAGAACCAACTCTCTCCAATGTTTTGAATTTGGACTGCAGTTCCCATTTCAACCACTAGTTATCAATATTACATACTGCGCATTTAATCTAAAGTGTTACCCCATACTCATTTAGTAATGTTATACTGCACAACCCTACTTTGAAGGAGTGTAAAACAAATCAGCTCAACTTTCACCATCTTTCAGGTTTTCCCATCAGTCCATGCAGCAGTCTATGATGCACGGCCTGGGTCAAGGTCACTTGGGAGCGCAGGGCATGCACCCCAACATTATATCCAATCAGATGATGGAGCAGCAGCAGCAGCAGCAGCAACAGCAGCAGCTGATCAGACAGCATCCAGCTCTCCGAGTACGTACACCACACACCCCAATGCATTGTGGTAGGGCTGGACGATTAATCGAAAAGAAATCGAAACCAACATAATTTTCCCATGTCGGTTATTTCAGTATTTTAATCCTGTTAATACTTTCCCCTTAAAAACTTACTACCGCCTGTGTAGTCGGCGCTATACATTTGTGTATGACCGCTGCGCTCTCATCTTTTGCAGCGTCTCACACGTGAGTGGCGTGTTCAAAATATTTCAACTTTTACACGCAGCGCCGCTCATCAATGTCAGTTCCAAAACAGTGGACCAATCAGAAGACCCCGGAGGCGGGGCAAGCGTTGTGAGCTTTTGTTTACAGTAGCAAGTTAGCATGCCCCATTTTGTATTTAACGGCAACATGGTGGAGTAGGCATTCTGCACCATAGATATGTTCTGTGCTGCGCTTTTTTCTTTTTAAACCATTACTGAGCGCTGCGTATCGCGGGTTTAGATGCAAAGACGCGTTGTGTGTGAACGGCCAGTAAGAACCTAGAGTAAATACTTGCACATATAGCATGACAGGACAAGATCACTGAGATGGTGCCCTGCTCTTTCTCTTATTCAGCAGTGCTCTATTTACATTTATTATTTAAAACATTTATTTACAGGAGATGCAAGTTATTATTTTCAGTTTTTCACATTGCATTATTTAAAATAATATTAATTTACAAGAGAGACAAGTCATTTTCTACTTCTCGCATGACAGTATTTAAAATGTATTTTGTTTGCAAGAGATAATTGTTATTTTCTACTTTTGGCATGGCAATATTCATTTATTTTGTCATTCATGACTTTTTTTTCATAAGACATCTTCATTTCAAGCAAGCTTTGATTTGAAATATTCAACAAATAACCACAAATACTTTGTTTCCTTCAATTATTTTAAAATCACAAAGATAATGCACTCTTTCATTAGAAAAAAATATCCCACCCTTAATAGTTAGATCACTGAGATGGTGCCCTGCTCTTTCTCTTATTCAGCAGTGCTCTATTTACATTTATTATTTAAAACATTTATTTACAGGAGATGCAAGTTATTATTTTCAGTTTTTCACATTGCATTATTTAAAATAATATTAATTTACAAGAGAGACAAGTCATTTTCTACTTCTCGCATGACAGTATTTAAAATGTATTTTGTTTGCAAGAGATAATTGTTATTTTCTACTTTTGGCATGGCAATATTCATTTATTTTGTCATTCATGACTTTTTTTTTCATAAGACATCTTCATTTCAAGCAAGCTTTGATTTGAAATATTCAACAAATAACCACAAATACTTTGTTTCCTTCAATTATTTTAAAATCACAAAGATAATGCACTCTTTCATTAGAAAAAAATATCCCACCCTTAATAGTGGAGTATATTTACAGTACAAACCTTTAATGAACCATGAGGACCGAAAAAAATAAATTAAAAATCATTCAATAATCGTAATCGAGGTAAAGTGTTCAATTAATCGAGGTTTTGATTTTAGGTCATATCGCCCAGCCCTACATTGTGGGATACTGCACATTTCACGTAACGCCTAAATTCCAACGATTCACCTGAAATGCTATTGTATTTGTGTGTTTGTCTTACAGCAGCAGGTGCAGCAGCAGCAGGTTCAGCAACAAGTGCAACAGCAGCAGCAGCAGCAGGTTCAGCAGCAGCAGCAGGTTCAGCAGCAGCAGCAGGTTCAGCCTCAGCAGCAGGTTCAGCAGCAGCAGGTTCAGCAGCAGCAGGTTCAGCAGCAGCAGGTTCAACAGCAGCAGGTGGCAGCAGCCCAGCCTCCCGCTCAGGCCCTGGGGATGCAGCCCATGGTGAGACCATGTACTTTTAAAATGCACCATGTACTGGAACACAAATGGGTAGATGGTAGGGCTGGGACAATAAATCGATGCATCGCGATTTTGTGGATTGATTCTGAGATTATCGGAATGCATTGCGATTCTCTCTCTGGGATCGATTCTGAGCTTAGTTTTTAACAGCAAACGGCGCTCTAGGCTAGTTTTTAACTGCACACCTAGGGCTGGGCAAAAAAAAATCGAAGCCCTAAATGCACACCTAAATGCTCACGAAGAAGAGCGCTTGTGCTTGAGTCATGTAAGGGGTTATGTACTTGCACCTCAGCTTTTATGCTTTTAAGACGTGAGATTAAAGGGTTAGTTCACCCAAAAATTTAAATTCTGTCATTAATTACTCACCCTCGTGTCGTTCCAAACCCATAAGGCCTTCGTTCATCTTGACAGAATTTTCATTTTTTGAACTGTATGAATGATTATTTAGGTTCAGGTGGTGCATGTGCAAGGAATTGTAAGCAAGCAGAGTACAGCTGTTTCTAAAGCACGCAGTGCCATCTGCTGTTACAAACTAAGCTCAGAATCGATTCAAGAGAGAATCGCCATGCATTTGGAAAATCTCTGAATTGATGCAGAATCATTTCTCGATTCACGATGCATTGATTTATTGTCACAGCCCTAGTAGATAGACATTATAAAACAGTTCTAGAAGCTTCTGTGGCTTATTGCTTTACTTTTTGGACATTCTGAATATTTTTCTTCTGTATTTTGTCTCAGTTCCCTCGGCAAGGCATGCAGCAGACCCAGCAGCAGCAGCAAACCGCAGCACTGGTCAGACAGCTCCAGCAGCAGCTCTCAAGTATGCTTCAATATTTACATTACTCCGTTTCAAGCAGACATGACACACTGTTGTGTTTTTGCTTTATATACATTGACCTCCAAAAGTGTTCAAATGCTCATGGCAGGAGATTGGACAATATCAACATCTTGCAGGGCTGTCCCCTAATAGTCAACTAAATGTTAATCAAATTTGGCTTATGATTTGTAAGTGAAATATGTTAGTAGCAACTTAACTCAGCTGCTCACTGTAACGTTAACCTAGATAAATGTGTGCTATTTGGCACATATCCAAGTGTTTGAGTGAAAGCTATTAACATGCGACTGCACTGGCATTGTTTTCTGGTGGAGACAACTTAAAAAATGCTGTAATTTTTGCTCATGCAGATCAGAGTAATACATCACTTGAAAGTGTAAAGGTTCTACTTTTATATGTATGCACTCACAATGTCAACAAAACTTTTGGTAAAGTAAATTAAACCATCTCGGTCAACAAGTCTAGCAGCAAAATAAAACTCAACTGGAGCGTGTCACAAAAATGAATGAAACTCCGTGTATAAGTTACTTGCCTCACAGACATTAGAAATGTATAGAAAGCTGAAATGTCTACAAATCGAAAACAAATTATGTAATCCATATGAAATGTGCATTTCTTTCTTAAATGTGCGTCACTGTACTGTGGAGATGGCAAGTCAGCAACACTAGTTTATTAATAAATAATTGAAATATCGCCTTGCTATTTTTTCCGACACATTCAGTAATTACATTTGCATATGTGTGTGCTTGAGTGCAAAATAGGCTATATATTAAAGGCTCCGTAAGTATATATAGGGCCCTATGAAATGAAATGCATTTAATTTTTTTCCCAAAATCTTTATTTTTATATATATATATATATATATATCACTTCAATGGTTACATTTAAGTTTTTTTAATCAAAAGCTATTGTCTTGAAATCATAAAACTTTTTTAATAGCAATTTATTCTATGCAATGTTTTATTTTACAATTTCTTTGTCCTGGTAAGCAAATGAAGGCATAAAACATTCATTTAATTCTTCTTGTAATCCAATGAAAATGAAACCCTTCCAGTTTTTGGCAAACAAAGTGCTGCACAACAGGTGTGCTATTAAAATTGTGTGATTATTCCTTAAAAAATAAAGTTTTAATAACCATCTTATTAGTAGTAGTATTAATGAATACATTCTGTTGTACAAAAGTAAAATATTTCTGTCACAATTTTATCAAGTTAAACTTAACTTTTATTATGACGAGTTGCCGAGAAGACCTTTAAGTTTCTGTGAGTATATGATATGACGATAGTTTTTCTGAAATTAAACTATCAGATGCTTATGAAGTGACTCGTTTCTTTGTGTATTATATGTCAGTGTTTTGGCAATGCTGTGCAAGTCATGCCAATGAAGCTCACTTGAATTAAATAGAAAATCTGTGCCATTAATTCACTCAGAGACGTGCAGGATTCATATTTAAATCGTTTTTTTGCGGTTTAATGTTCACAGAATCATTCTGATTCGATTTATTCAAAAATTGGCAAATTCTGTGACATTTCGCGTTATACAAAAAAATCTATTTTTATGACTGGATTTTGCAATTCCGTCCATGTTTTCTGCATTGTGGAAATCATAGGGCCCTATATGTAAGTATTCAAATTAATATAAACATGCAGCTAGTAGTCGTTTAAGCCACCAGTCGACTAGAAAAATCTCTAGTTTGGGGGCAACCCTAGTATGTTCTAAATTCATACTTTTTATATTTAATTGATTTCATTCTTAGTGCTGTTCTTTATCAATGCAAAGTCATCAATATTTAAACATTTGTCCTTTTTCTTTATTGAAATGACGTTTTTCTTTCCCTAGGTACTCAACCTGGACAGAACACCAACTCCTATTTCTGAGAGCGTCTGAATGCATTTCACCAGTGGTAAAGAGTAGTTGTGTCCACGTTAGCGGATTCTCTGCTACACGGAGCTTTCTGAGAGAAGAACAGAATCTGAAGTAGAGTCGTGTAGACATGTATTTCTGAACGTCATAGAGGATTCATTCCGAGGTGAACCATGGAAGAGTTTATGTAAAAAGAAGTACAGGAAATTATAAGAATATTGCAACCTTTTTAATTTTATTTCAATTTGTACAATTTTTCAGTTCCGTGTGTTTCTCATTAAAAAAAAATCATGTCAGTTTTTATGCCTTGTCGTACATTGTATAGCGTGTGACCTTAAATCACGGTCTGCTTCAGTTTCTGTGCAACCCCAACAGCATCGTTATATTTGATTACTGCATTAAATCATGCTAAGGTTCAAGAATTCATTACGATTTTGACTCATCTTTTTGGGGAGTCGTCTGTTTCACCGTTCTCCTCTCTAGACGACTAAACAACACTCCCAAATCAAGACCCAGCGCTCTTCTTTCCAACCCACACTCTCGTCCTTCATGTCTCATCCGAAAGTTAAAAGGGGTCATATGATGCTATTTTAAAGATCATTATTTGGTGTAACAGAATATGTTGACATGCTTTAATGTTCAAAAAACACATTATTTTTCAAATACTGTACATTATTGTAGGTCCTCTAGGCCCCGCCTCTCTCAAACGCTTCGTTTTCTACAAAGCCCCCTCCTTTGACAAGCGCAGTCTGCTCTGATTGGCCAGCTGACCCAGTGCATTGTGATTGGCCAAACACCGCAAGCACTCGTCAGAAATGTAACGCCCCTTACCATAATCACCAGCTTCAGCTTTCAAAGTAAATATCAAGACTGTTAATAATGTCGCGTGACAGACACAGTGATGATGCAGTACATCTGATGTGCTATGATTTCCTTACCATAATCGCAAGCTTCAGCTTTCAAAGTAAATATCAAGACTGTTAATAATGTCGCGTGACAGACACAGTGATGATGCAGTACATTTTGTACTTGTTACTTTGCACTTTTTGTTAGAAAATGTTTATTTACTATTTATTCAAGTTTTTTTAAGGTATCTAATATTTTGATACTTCATTTCCATGATCTAAATATTCTTAAGAATTAAAAGTTTGTTGTCATTTGGAAATGTGTAGGCCTTCTTGCATAATTATGCTGTTAAATTATGACTATATATTCAGTGGCATAAAATGGTCTTTAAAATGCCAATAATATCGCTTATCGCAATTATTTCTGGGGCATTATATCTCACAACAAAAAGTTGTTATCGTGACAGGCCTAGGCGTGACTCCCAACCTGGATAAAATGTTATCGGCAAGCCCTGGCACCACAGGTTGCAGGAGATTCCTATAAACCTGGAGGCACTAAAGACACGTGAAGGACGGTATCAAGCCACCGCCGTTCTCGGGGATCGATCCGGTCCAGCTTCCACGGGGCGTGCCTTTGTACAAACCCGTTAGTGAGGCGCACGCATGTGCTTATGGCCTCCAGCGCTTTATAGATGTGCAGCTTCTCAAAGTGCTGATCATCCGAGACGGCTCCTCCTTTGGGAAGCTGGTGTTAACCATAGACTGTATAAAAACATGGACGTAGTGTCCGTGACCTCACTCATAGGTTTCTGAAGAGCGGTTTTGAAGCTCAAAGTGGGCGGAGCCGGCCATCGCCATAATGGCAGTGTGTCACTCCCGGATAATCAAAAATGGGCAAAGAGGCGGGAGCTGGTTGCTGAAACCACGCCCACCTAGCTCTCCGCCGATGAGCAGTGGCAATCCACCGGTCACTCAAGTGGCCACACCCTTAATTATGCAGAACTTTAAGGCTTAATATAATTTAAACGGATGAGTTATAAAAAAAAATAATTTTTTGTACCAGGCTGTAAACATACTTTTTTCTGCTGTAAAAACATTTTAACATGGGGAGTCTATGGGACTGACCCCCTTTTGGAGCCAGCCTCTAGCGGCCAGTCGATGAGTTTTAGTCACTTCCGTGTAGGCTTCACGAGAGAGACTGGAAGGTTGCCGCTTGCAGGGCCGTTTTAACCATTGGGCATTGGGCTGAAGCCCCGGGGCCCGAGCAAAGAGGGGGCCCGTGATTGGCTGTGGAGTAGATTGACTGGAGCGCCGATCGCCAAAGCCACCAGGCCCCCCACTTGTTAGCGCTGTTATTTAGTTAAGCTTTCCCGTAAATTCCATGCATTACCACTTGAGATTGAAACGTTAAGTTTGAATTTGGTTTACCAATCAAATGCATTTATTCTATATTTGACTTTTGAACGATATGCTCACTTATCTATCAGGTGATTGCTGCCCAGAGTCAGTTGGGACCAGAAACTGGTTACGATCATTCTTCAAAATATCTTCTTTTATGTTGAGGAGGAAAAGGAGGTTTCATAGAGGTTAAGTATATAATGACAGTATCTTCATTTTTTGGTGAATATCCTTTTAAGATCTCATTATATATCTGATCTCATATAGCTTAACACATGCTTTATCTTTAACTATTAACATTCATTTAAGACACAAATAACTGTGTTTACGAGGATACTCGCAAAGACGGGCATTTTGACACATAACTGTGTATTTGACTAAGCCAAACACCAAAAAAAAAACTATCAGTCATTCTTGAGCAGTGGGACAAAACCGGGTGCAAAATTGAAAAAATAAAACCTTGTACTCAGACAAATGAAACTACATTTATGTATTTTATATGTACTAAGCTACTGAACTATGCTTTGATACAACCTCCCAACTTTTCTCTTTTTTAACAAAATGTGCTTTTTTTTACCTTGGACTGTGTAATATAATTTCAGCTTTATCTTTAACAGCATTCAAGATGTTTTTAACATTTCAAAACACATTCTCGTGTTAGCACACAGATTACACTTTCACATGTGACCAACAATTCCACAACAAATATAAAATATATTGTCAAAATATTCAACTGACGGAGGTGACGAAAATCTGAATTTGTAATAATTTTAACTGTCGAGTGAGGGGACTGTGACGATTTGTTAACCTAATGAATAATTGATTTGTTAAATCAAATTAAAATTAGTGTGTCAGATTGGTCGAGACGCTACAGTTCTCAGACAGTGTTTAATGGTCACATGACATGCAGGTAAACTAATAAAATATTACATTTTTTTTGTAAGTGTTTTACGTTGATGTTATTTTAAAATGACTTGTTTTAATTGGACTTTTTTATGGTTTATTATTAATTAATTATTAACTTTCCATAACTTATACACTGATCTGTATTATTGATATTAATATTATATTATTGATCTGCATTATAGATGCAGTCCTTATAAGCAACTTGTTAGCAAGCAACATAGCAACTTTAAAAAAAAAAAAACAATGGCAAAAAAAAAATGTAATGTTTACCACAAACCTTATTTTAATTTCAAATTAAAATCTTCAAACCAACAGGGAAATCTGAAATTGAAAGAGATTGTTTTTAAAGCACATAACACTCACAGGGGATACGTACAACAGAAATATTGTTTAAAAGAACAATATGTGACTCACAGGTTGATGCAAAGCAATAAAATACATGCACAACCACAAAACACAGTAATATTCTACAAAAAATAATCGGGCCCAAAAAATTAATAGCCTACATAAATAATAAATAAAAAGAGATAAAACCTCAACATAAACATCTTAAGAAAAATAGTAAAACGTAAATACATAAGAATGTCAACTTCAAAGATTGTTTATAATTCAAAGGGATTCAGAATAGAGCTTCTGTGTTGGACCTTTTAGCTCCGCCTCGAACCGGAAGCGGCCCTGTTGTCTCACGAGCGGCGTTTATCATCCGCAGCCTCATTCCTCCCTGAAGTTACAGTAGAATAATGAATTAAAACGGTCTTATTGACTCGTTACGTTTCACAGATCGACCATCTAATCCCCATTTGGACTCGGGCTTCGTGTATTCGCGTGATCTCGGTGTTTTAAGATGTCAGTGGTGGGTTTTGACGTGGGCTTTCTGAGCTGCTATGTAGCGGTAGCTCGAGCCGGAGGAATCGAGACTGTGGCCAATGAATACAGCGACCGAAGCACTCCGTGAGTCCGCTTTATTGTCTCCTCTACAGCACACACGCTCGCTGCCACACCGCGGCGAACACCTCAGCCTTTAGCCGAGGAAGCCGCTGCTAGCTGAGTCGCTCACAGCCGCACAGCCGGGGCTTTCACCGCGCGAGGGAAATACTTTATAGAACACTGCGCTGTAGCGTTTGAAAAGCAGGACACTTTTTAGTAGTAGTATATGCTTTGAGAAACAGAACAGAATGAGTGTGTGTGACCCTGGAGCACAAAACCAGTCATAAGGGTCCGTTTTTTAAATTGAGATGTATACATCAGCTGAAAGCTGAATAAATGAGCTCTCCATAGATGCAAGGTTTGTTAGGATAGGACAGTATTTGGCTGAGATGCAACTATTTGAAAATCTGGAATCTGAGGGTGCAAATAAAATATATATAAATAGGGTACAACAACAAGGCGCTTTTGACACACAAACGTGGTGCAGCACTTTCCAAAACACCTGCTTTTCAAGATGCACCTGTATATCTGTCTGAGCTTTGCGCAAAGATGATCCTGTGCTCACTTGATCTCATATTTCATGATTTTAAAATGGTAAAATGAAGAAGAATCGCTCAAAGTAATGCATGTCTTTTCGAGACAAAGGTCTTCTTTGTGATTTTCAGTTTTGTTTGAGATAATTAAAGCAACAGTTTTTAAATAAGGAAAGAATATGTAAAAGTATGGCATGTTAGCCCCCTGCTGTAAGGCACACAGTTAATAACATCATAATTAATAGATGGCTGACTTTTCCATTTGCTGACATGGTTAGATTCAGATTATAAATATCATATATTATGTTGGGTGACATATTAGAGATAATCACCATGTTTAGAACGAAACCATCATATTTAAAAACATGATATTTAATCATATCATATAATACAATATCATTTGTTGTTACTACTGTAAATATATATTCGATTATTATTGGATCTCCTTCAATGCTCTCAGAATCTTTACTTATTAGAACGATTTTGTTTCTGTATTTTAAAAAATATGTGTTATTGGAAAAATGGATTCTTATATTTTTCAAAATAAGCAGAAAATAGTACAAACTTTGCTAAAGGGATAGTTTTGAACAAGTGTTAACTTAGACATTATTAAAAAGCAATATTATAGCTGAAGTATTTGCATAAATACCGTGTGTGGGGTAAAAGGCCGCTCTTGACACCTCATACATTTATACGATTTGTAAACAAAATAAACAACTTGAATGATTTATTTTCACAAAATCTGTTGCTCCATTAATGTTCAATACAACGTATGTATTGTTTGTGCAATTATACATTTTAGGCAAATTTTTTTCTTAAGGTTTGTCTTTAGCCCCGTTGCACCCTATTTATATATTTGATAAATCATCTTTAAAGTTGTCCAAATGAAGTTCTTAGCAATGCATATTGCTAATCAAAAATTAAGTTCTGATATATTTACGGTAGGAGATTTACTAAATATTTTCATGGAACATGATCTTTACTGAATATCCTAATTACAGTACAGACAGTTAACACACCAACACTGAACCATCTTTTTTTTTTTTTTATCAGATTTAAATCTCGTGTTTTATTCAGACTGACAAATTTTATATGTATTTTTTTATTTTCTTTGGAGTAAGTGTAAATGTTGTATGAATGCAGAGCTGGGTGGTAACTGATTACGCTATCTGGATTACATAATCAGGTTCTACTTGTAATTAGATTAAATTACATTTTAAAATACTCGTAATCAGGCTACAGTTACTTTTTTATGGATTACATGAATGCATATTATTTACACAATAGCAATAGTTTATGCATCATTTATTGATTCTCCCTAATTCCTCTTTTTCATCTTTTAAATGTCCCTTTCTGAAATAGCCTACCGCTTGTATACAGTCAGAAAGTCCAGTGTTGTGGACATTCACACAGAGATCAGCATCTGTCCGCTGGATTTACAAAAATCATACAGGTTTAAGAAGTGTTTCGACACTGCATCAGCTACTGATGAACACATTCACTTTATTTGAATTATCGCTCCGTTGGTTATTTTAGCTTGCGTTTGTTTGTCTTTCAAACACATTAAAATGCCCAAAATTCACCAACCTTTTTGTCATCTGATCCTCTTTCACCTAAAATATTTTTATTTGAAGTACCCCTGAGATTTTAAAATAAATATTTTAATAACGAAGTATCACATTTGCGTGTTCTTGGTTCTCAGACGGTGTTTAATGGTCACATGACACGCAGGTAAACTAATAAAATGTTTTATTTTGATTCATTTTAAAATTTAAAATTCGTTTTAATTTGACATTTTCATGATTTAATTGATTATTAGCTTTTATTAAACTCATAAACCCCCTGCACTTCCTTCACAAACCCAGTTTAGGAAACTTGATATAATATATGCACTTTTAGTGCGCTTCATGCCGTTAATAACAACAAATGGAATATATTTTCTTACTCTTTGTTTTTTTTTTTATATCAAAATGGTATTTTTATAACAAAAAAAGATATTTAAATTAATGTGAAAAATGCGTTGGGTCAAAAGTAGGGTTGCAAAGGGGTGGAAAACTTCTGGTAAATTTCCGGAAACTTTCCAAAAATCCCTGGAATATTCTGGAAAAATCCTGGAGAGTTTCCAAAATTTCTAGAATGTTTCCGAAATTTACTGGAAATGTTCCACCTTTTTGCAACCGTAGTCAAAAGTAATCTAAACTATTCTGAAAGTAGTCTGATTATATTACTTAAGATGTGTTTTATATGTACTGTATGTATAAGACATCTGACTGACAGTTTCTTCTTATAAATGTGTGTGTGTGTAAATAAATGTATGCTATGCTCTAATAATGATCGATTATACCAGCACAATCGTTTGTCATAATGTTTGGCAATTTGTGTTTGTCATTTCAGAGCATGTGTGTCTTTTGGACCACGAAATCGATCTATTGGAGCGGCAGCTAAAAGCCAGGTATGTGATGTATAGACCTTAGGATAGATGCAGTTTTTAACTTAACACGGATGAAAGTGAGGCTGTGACTGATAGATTCCAGTCTTTATAATTGTACACACACACTGTAAGGCCCGTTGTTATCACAACTTTCAAAACTGTTTATGCCATTTTCATCAACTGAACAACATTGCAATCCATTGAACACATCTACTTCTGTACTTCACAGCCTTATTTTCGTTCCTGTCAAGAATTAAACATGCGACCCTGACTAAGCTTTATTCTTCAGTATTTAATTTTTATGCTGCCTTCATGCGGTCTTCGTATTTGAGCTCATGCAAGATTTACTCACGTTTTTTGTTCCAATTGAAACACAGGTGGTCACCAATTGCAAAAACACTGTCCAAGGATTCAAGCGTTTCCATGGCCGGGCGTTCTCCGATCCATTTGTCCAGAACTTGAAGTCCAGTCTCGTTTATGACCTGTCACAGATGCCATCGGGCATGACGGGCATAAAGGTGAGTAGCTAAAAGTGAGACCAGATCAACAAGAAACCCAGGATTCAGTTGGCACACGCGCAAACATCGCATTGTGCCAGCATTGTTCAGAGGTCTAGTTTTGGAAGCAAAACCTTCTTGTAAAGCCGAGTGCAGAGTTCTGTTGTGCGGTGAATGTGAGAGCGACGGTGAGCTGTTTTCGTCCTTTAGCACTCGTGTGTTGTATGTTGCAGGTGATGTACTTGGAGGAGGAGAAGGTGTTCAGCATTGAACAGATTACTGCGATGCTCCTCTCCAAACTCAAGGAGACTGCTGAGAGCGCCCTCAAGAAACCCGTCGCCGATTGTGTCATCTCTGTGAGTGCAAAAAATTAATTTCCCTAAAGATGTTGCATATAATTGGTGGGTTTGCAGACCATGTCGCCCTTAGCAGGGCTCAACAGTGTGAGCGTTTCACTAGCGTTTGCCACTAATAATAGATATGTGCAAGCTGTATTTAGGAGAACGTGTATGAATAAAAAAGCCCCATGCATCAGTTTTAAATTTAAGGTTATAAATACTTTAAATGGTATAACTAGTGTCTTGATCATTTTAATGCATCCCGGGCTTGTTTATAAATAAAAGTCATGCATTATGTATATATTTTTTTCTCTCTGGTTATTATTTGGTTGCACTAACTGTATGTAATGCAGTTTTAATGAAATCATTTCATTCAAAGTAAACTATTGTCACTTCTATCCGGGATGCCCCGTCACAGGAAGGAAAGACAAAGAACATTATTTGACACATTATTCAGTGTATAGATTTGACTAATATCAGGGTTATTAACTAAAACTATTTAAAAAAAATTCATTACTTTAAATGTTTACTGAAATAAAATGAAATATTAAAAATTTAAACTTTTCATTTTCTTGTCGTTTAACCCGATGTACTAAGCTAAAACTGAAATAGAAACTATAAACAATATAAAAATTAATAAAATCTAAATATGTGACCCTGGAGCACAAAAGCAGTGTTAAGTCGCTGGGGTATATTTGTAGCAATAGCCAACAATACATTGTATGGGTCAAAATTATCGATTTTGTTTTTAATGTCAAAAATCATTAGGATATTAAGTAAAGATCATGTTCCATGAAGATATTTTGTAAATTTCCTACCGTAAATATATCAAAACTTAATTTTTGATTAGTAATATGCATTGCTAAGAACTTCATTTGGACAACTTTAAAGATGATTTTATCAATATTTAGATTTTTTTGCGCCCTCAGATTCCAGATTCAAGAAAATATTGTCCTATCCTAACAAACCATACATCAATGGAAAGCTTATTTATTCAGCTTTCAGATGATGTATACATCTCAATTTCAAAAAATGTACCCTTATGACTGGTTTTGTGGTCCAGGGTCACATATTAAAAACAATAATAGTATCTACTAAAATACAGAAGTCCTGAATAAAAAATAAAATAAGGTAATTTGTGACTTTTTATCTAACTATTCTCAGAATTTTGAGATCTCACAATAGCGAGTCCAATTCAGAGGAAAAAAATATATATTTTCTTAAAATCGTGAGAGCTTGCATCTCACAGTTCTGAGAAAAGTCAGAATTATGAGATGTAAATTGCAATTGCGACAAAAAAAGTCAGAATTGTGAAATAAAACATCGCAATTACAGTTTTGTATATATTATTCAGTGGTGGGAAGAAAACACTGACTTGTATGGCAAAATCTGTGTGTGCACATTTTATATTTATCAATGCTAAATGCGCTCCTAAATTTTTCAACTTAGGAAAAAAGTAAGCATCATGTCATGTATGGTCGCTTTTCCCTCAGCCATAAATGAGTTATTGGAGACAGAAATCCACCTTCGATACTATGAATACTCTGATATCTGAAGTGAATGCTGTTTTCAATCCCAAGGTCCCCTGCTTCTACACCGATGCTGAGAGGAGATCCGTCATCGATGCGGCTCAGATCGCAGGACTCAACTGTCTGAGACTCATGAATGAAACCACCGCAGGTGAAATGTTCAGGGTTTAACACGGCATTTCAATTGCAACACATCCACTTTCCGCTCTTGAATGACGTGCGTTTGTTTGTTTGTTTTTGCATGCAGTGGCTCTGGCATACGGGATCTACAAGCAGGATCTTCCCGCTCCTGAAGAAAAGCCAAGGACAGTGGTGTTTGTGGATATTGGCCATTCAGGCTACCAGGTCTCTGTGTGTGCCTTTAATAAAGGCAAGCTTAAGGTGTGTGCCGATGACATTTATACCTTCAAAATGTGATCTGGACTGTTATGTGGAAATATAGACCGAGCATTTTTTCCACCCGTACAGATTCTTGCTACAGCCTTTGACCCTGAAATGGGAGGAAAAGACTTTGATGAGCGGCTGGTCAGACATTTTTGTGAGGAGTTTGCAGTGAAGTACAAGCTGGATGTGAAGTCCAAGCCCAGAGCGTTGGTCCGACTCTACCAGGAATGTGAGAAGCTCAAGAAGCTGATGAGCGCCAACTCCTCTGACCTGCCCCTGAACATCGAGTGCTTCATGAATGATATTGATGTCTCAGGCAAACTCAACAGGTATGTCGTCTTCTAATCTCTGCTGAAATTAAACGCAGACACGTAAAAATGCTGTCATCATATCTAGAGCCCGACCGATATATCGTTTAGCCGATATTATCGGCCGATATGAGCCTGTCGCCGATATATCGGCGAATATGCCGCCGATATGAATTTTTTTTTTTTTACAGAACATGTAACGCAGATTAAATGCTTCTGAATGGTGTAATTACTTAGTTTGTCCAGCAGAGCGCGCTCCATTGTTTGCTACTGGACCCAGGTCAGTGTAGTGTAGAGATGCGCGGATGAGCTCAAACTTCACCCGAGTCCGCTGCTTCAAATTATCCGCCCGTCACCTATATTTGATCGTCACATTACAATGATTCAAATTTTTTGTTTTGCATGATGATATGATGAATGGATGGTTCATTTAAAAGCAGATTCAGTGACGTTAGAGACTAGAGCTGATCTGCGCTTCACGGCATGTGTCTGCGGCGCATTTAAACTGTTACGGCCACTGGAGCTGATCGCGGCCACTCAATGCTGGTGTTTACTGGCCACGCCGCGGCCCAGAACTCATGCTTATCACATCGGTCACATCACATCGCGCGGCACGACAAAATACAATAGAATTCTATTTGATTTTGTCACGCCACTCGTGTCCTGTGTAGAATAGAACCCATTATGTTGTCTACACCGGATTCAGTAAAATGATGCCTCGTTCTATTTATGACGTGCTGACAGAAGTTCAAATGATTTTCAACGGTCGCTTTGACGCATTCTGTTGCAGCACAGACACGGTGTCAGCATAGTAACCCCCACCAGGGAGGGTTCCCCGGGCTCGGGAGTCTTGCCGAGCTCGGAGCTCTCTCCCTGGACTGCACGCCAAATACGCATAACCTTTATTTAATTATATGTAAGTGTGAACTCGTAAAATGGTGAATTAACGCTACGTTGTCACCTACTTGGAGAGACTCAATGCTAAGTAAATAAACATCAATGCCCTTGTCTTTTACTCTCACAATGAGCTTATCATATTCGTTTGCTACATTAGTAGGGCCCTATGATTTCCGCGATGCAGAAAACATGGACGGAATCGGCGGAATCCAGTCATAAAAACGGAATTTACTGTATAACGCAGAATTTGATGGAATTTGTTTTATTTTTGATGAATAAATAAAAAACAGGTCAGTGTGTATACATGTTCATTGGATTACCAGAAAATACATAACACAGAGTTTGTGATCAAAATATTATTCATTATTGTTATTTATTCATTTTAGATGTTTCATTTTATCTTGGAAGCATACTACAACTGTCCTAAAGAGCTCCCTTATCCAGATCCCATAATAGGTACACACACACACTCTCTCTCTCTCTCTCTCTCTCTCTCAGGGTTCAAAAGTAACACTCACCAAGTGCCACATGTGAGTAAAAATGGCTTTTGTGAGTAACTATATTGTATAAGCTTGTCATTGATGTCTTTGTGAACAATTCATCAGTTAAATATTTTTAAACAGTTTGACCTTGTAGTTTTTAATCAGAATGTCTTAACTGAATCTCAGAAAAACGCCAGACTTGTCTCTGACGGATGCAGGACTTCAGCTATCCGCCTCAACATCGACATCTCGACGTACAATCAAAAACTGATTAATAGAAACACCTAGTCCAACCCACTTTTTCTTTTTCTGATAATCGGTTTCATTCTGATGTATGGAAGCCTCTTTCCGCCACTGAATAAAAAAAAAATAAAAAAAAAGGTAATTACAACTTTTTATTTCACAATTCAGAATTGCATGATATAAACTTGCAGTTGTGAGTAATATTATATATTTTCTTGCAATTACCTTGCAATGCAGTTCTGAGAAAAAAAGTCAAAATTGTGAGATAAAAAGTTATAGCCATTACCTTTTTTATTCAGTGGTGGAAACAAGCTTCCATATGAATGTACGTCACAATATGAAAGAATCTATGAATTCTATTGCATCTTTAAGCAAATTAAACGACTCAAAGAAGTACAGATGGACTGCTAAAGAAAAGACAATGTTTGTGTGACCTTGTGTCTTCTCACAGAGAGGCAAACGAGTGACACAATGACCTGAGAGAAGAACAACTCAATAATTCTGTTGCTATAGGAACTGAAATATATTTAGGGAAAGCATGCAAAATACATGCATTTTTATGGCCAGTAGTCCTTCTTCTCAATTCACCTGCCAAAGGTGGCAAATATTCTTCTTTTCATGGCTTATTTTTACTGTACAGTCTTTGTCACGATATATTCTGTATGTAAAAATCTACACTTAAACTCTCACGCAGGTCAGTACATCATCCAGAAGGTGGTTCCCCAGGCCTCAGGCGAGAGTTCAAAGGTTAAGGTGAAGGTGCGAGTCAATATCCATGGGATCTTCAGTGTGTCCAGTGCTTCACTAGTGGAGGTGCAGAAATCTGAGGAGGAAGAGGAGAGCATGGACACAGAGCAGAGCACAGAGAAAGAAAATGAGGTATTGCACTTGCAGCAGGATAACACTGTTCACATGCTGTCTCTCCCAATTAAACTCTGCTTTAACACTTTTATCACAATCTGTAATTTTGCATCGCTCCATGCTGTTAGTGCATATACTGTGCGGCAGTAGAAAACATTCATACCTCATAGATTGATGTTCTGGTGACGTTACCACCATGTGTTTTCAATCATTCACAGAGCAAAATGCAGGTTGATCAAGATGAACAAAAGACTCCAGGGGCCGGAGAACAGGAAAATGGAGAGAAAAAAGCGGGAACCGAAGAAATGGAGGTAAATGAGATTCACAAATAACACCAATTAAATGACCCACATATTTAGGATCATTTGATAATCATGCATATTACTATCCATACTATGGGTGTGCGATATTTATCATCTGTGATAAGTTGTTTTAAATTATATGCGAGCTGACAATTTATCAAGTATGTCACTCACTCTGCTTAAAAACAAACAAAAACACATCTTGAGAGTCCAAAAGCATTCACTGTGTGATGCATTTAAAATGACCCTATAATTCAAGATATGAAAGGAAAAAATATCCCCGTATGAGTTTTTGTTTGTTATATTTATATAGTTAAGTAATATCACTCAAGCCATTTTCCTAAATATCAGCGCGATCGCGAATGTGATGTTAATTTTATACAACAGTTCAACAAACAAGAAGTTAATATTGAGCGAGTTGTGTTTTTTTCTGTTTCGCCAATGAAAATACAGTGGGGCAAAAAAGTATTTAGTCAGCCACCAATTGTGCAAGTTCTCCCACTTAAAAAGATGAGAGAGGCCTGTAATTTTCATCATAGGTGGCTTCTTGGGGCTTATTGCTTTTATAAAACGGTTATTCCATATACGTAGTACGGTTTCACAAAATAAAACCGAGCAAATAAAGTGTAATGATATTAATAAAAACAGTATTCATTTTCTTCCACCAAACAATGTAGCTCCTCAGAAACAGTTGTGGTTCCAACAAAGTGGTTGTCGAGCAGCACACAAACGTAAACAAAGGTGTGTGTTTGTAGAGTAATTTACAACGGCTTCGAACGCGGCTCAGCCAATCAGAATCAAGGACCGGAACTATCTGTTTTATAATGGGGAATTTACAAATCGCGATATGTCTTGAAAAATCTTGACGCAGTTTATATAAATGAAATTGTTAAATATGTGCATGAAACTATTTTAAAATCCTTGTCTAGTAATCACAAAAGACGAACATTTCTAGACATTCGTTGGTCAGAAGGTGTTTTATACCACTGTTTAACCTAAAGATCAGACTTAACTTTATCCTAGCTGTATTTCATTTAATGTACTAAAATAACTAAATAAAAAAATAATAAAAACTATCGGCATATTTTTTAAATAACTTCTAAAAATGACAAAAACACACCAAAATGACTTCAACTTTAAAATGAAAATCGAAAATATTAAAAACACTCAATTCAAATATTAATAAAAAACGAAAAACTACTAAAAAGCGAGCTCAGTGCACGATTGCTATTTTAGTATTATTTATATATTATCATAGTATTTAGTTTTTTTTTAAGTTTAAATAAATGCTCTTGTCAATTTTATTCTTTATTTTTTATATATATATTTCTATATGGCTTTAGTTTTATTTTGGTTTTAATCATTTTAGTACTTTCAGTTAGTCGCTAAGGCAGTATTTCTAATTTTAAGTTTTTCCATCTAATATATACATTTATTTTATATCAGCTTTATTTGAATTAACAACAATGATTTTAATAGTTTTTTTTATGAATGCCAACAGTGTTGTCTGACTCCGTCTGTGTTTTCTCGCAGGACAGAGATGCTCTCTCATTAAAACTGGAGGACACTGAGGTCTGGCTGTATGAGGACGGTGAAGACCAGCCTAAACAAGTATACATTGACAAACTCATGGAACTGAAGGTACTAAACGTCTTCTGATGTCTATCATTTAAGATGTAAGCTGATGTGAATGTGTACAGCTAACCAAGCCAGTTACACACAACACAAACAGCACTCAGTCACCAAATTATATCCACTAAGTGCAGAGTACTGGTTCTTTACACATTGCAAATTATACTTGCGTCATGCGACGAAGGGCCTCTTTAACGTATTAAAAATGTTCTTGCAGAGACTCGGCCAACCCATTCAAGAGAGATACACAGAATTTGAGGAAAGACCCAAAGCTTTTGATGACTTGGGCAGACTTCTGCAGCAATACATGAAGATTGTAGAGGCCTACAAAACCAAGGTGAGGTTGAGCTGGATTAATGTTACATAACGTACAAATTTGCACCTGCCTAGTGCTTCACATGTCTTTTTGAATTACAGGAAGAGCAGTATGAGCATCTGGATGAGGCTGAGGTTCAGAAGGTGGACAGGATGGTGAACGACGTCATGATCTGGATGAACAGTAAAATGAACCAGCAGAGTAAACAGAGTCTCGCCGTGGAGCCTGTGGTGAAAACGATGGAGATACAGGCCAAAGCACAGGTCAGTCACAGTTAGATGGACTTCTTTTCTGGAGTACACGAGTATGTCGTCGTTCCGCAGCATGGTACATATCAAAGTGCTATGGTAGGACTGGGCAGTATGACAGTATAGTTACCACAGAAATGTTGCTATATCGTTTATTTTGCGGTATGCAAATATATCAGCGTAGCACAGTACTACTTAAAAAGTTATATACACCTGACCTAAGAATAATAAAGAAACATGCACGAATGAGAAAATAAAGAGTGGGACGTGCTAGATGTTAAGTAGAGTTATTAAGTGCAATAAGCAGTGAAGACACAGAACCGCCTCTCAGACAGCATGTGATCGTGAATTCAGATCTCTCTCGCATCTTATTGCGCTTGAATAGTCAAATACACACAATTATGTTAAAATGCCCGTCATGTGGAGTATACATGTAAACACAGTCGGTTAAATAAACGTAAACCGTTTGGTGAAAACTGGATGCGTTTCAGTATATTGGATCTGTGCAGTGGGTCTTAAAGCGACAGCAGCCTACTTTACCAGCTGCTGTCTGTCTTTAATGTTGATCTCACAACAAAAGATGATTGCATTGACGCATTGATTTAAAAAAGTGTGAATCAGGTGCAAGTTGGCTTTTGTGTCACGATGCATCATTTCTAACATATTTGCATTGGTAAAAACCAAAAATTATATATAATTATTAGTAGATGTGCTATACTTTTATTATTTAGAAAGTGAACAATAATTTGTGACCTATATTTTATATGTAGATTGATTTCTCTTCTCTAAAATGTTTATCAAGCGCATTCTCTCATCACCACTACTGCGAATATAGTGAATATAATGTATCACAACACTGAGACCGACGCGCTAGAAGTCAGAAGGCACTTAATTTCTGATTTGTAGTCTGTCTGAACCAAAGAAATAAAAGTCTACTCTCTGTACCATATTGAATTGCATAGCATCATATTTTGCTTCTATTGCATTGTATTGCGTTGAACCGAATCGAAATCGTATTGCACTGCATCGTAATAGGGGTGAATCACATCAGTAGCTGCTTCATGTGTTTCTTTTTTAATGTATCGTATCGTTGGCTATGCATCAGGATGCGTATAGCATCGGCCTCAGTTACGGAGATGCTCATCCCTCTTTTTTTTTTTAAAGATTTTGGTCATATTGCCCACCACCATACTATGGTATTGCCATCTGACGCCATACCTGTACCAGGTTAATACGTTCGTATTCAATCTCTTTACATTTTCCACAGGAGCTATTCTCCACTTGCAATCCTGTTGTGACCAAACCCAAGCCCAAAGTGGACTTGCCAAAAGAGGAGAACCCCTCAGAACCGAACGGGCCGGTCAATACGCAGGAAAACCCTGAAGCCCAGCCCAGCGGCACAGAGCAAGCGGCTGCGAACAGTGCAGACGCCACAGAAGCCAAGCCGGACATGGACCTCGATTAACCGCGCTGTGTAATGTTACGTTAACGTTACACGTTATGTTATGTAACATAATGTTTTGTTAATGTTAACTTATGTTTCCAGTGACTGCTATTGCTAAATCATCATCCTCACGGCGGGGTGACTCTGCCAATGAGAGAAAATCAGTGGCTACATTTGCATGTCCTTTTATATTAAGAAAAACATAAATCATGATGCTGTACGACTGCTGATTGAGAACAATTCTGTCTGCCTACGATTGAGTTTCTGTTATATGCTGGCTCTGTCAACTGTTGTTTCAATAAATATGGATTGAAACATATGTACGTGCTTATATTGTGGAATTACTTTAACATAAGGCTGTAATGCAGTTTGCTCTGCCTTTTGATTTATAGTTTACTTCAACGCACAGGCCAAAGCAGGTGAATGCAAAAGGAAATGTGTTAAAATATTTGTCAGCTTTACCCAAGGAGCCGGTGCTGCAAATAGTTTGTAAGTGCTTTATTGCACATTCACTTATCTTATGTTTGCCTTTGCACATCTTGGTTTACTTTGTTAGAGTGAGCAAACCCTGCATCGCTTCCATTGAAACACCTGATTGTCAGTTTTCAAAATGATTTTGCTTTTCTATAGCACGTTCCACAAATATGGTACAAATATTAAACATCACTCTTAAATGTGGATTTTGGCCTAGCTTTTCAACTTCATTACAACATTTAAAGCATGCAACAAATGAACAGTCTGTTGAACTGATATTCAGTTTGCTGTTATTGTAATTTTTTTCAATTCTGACCAAAATAACAGTGTCCCAGGTTTTGCATTCAACCCTGTTACGGCTTAATATTCCACTTAAATTAACAACATTAATTTAAATTTGTAAAAATTGTGATACCCAAGAAATATCATCATTTGGACACTTTCAACAGAATGACGGCAAGCAAATAAGCGTAACCATTCCACCCTGTTACAAAGTTATTCTAACATATTTTCTATATTTAGCCGTTTATAGTTGTAAAACAAAAGGTGTTCCCACACAAGCAAGCCCAACTGAGTGATCTCTTAAATTAGGCTAAATTACCCATTATGGTGTAATTTAACTTAAAAAAATGATGTTGCCAATTCGGTTAATGTATTATTCTGTTGTTTATATTTGTTGCCATCTAAATCACACAAATTAGGGTTTTAACTTTGACATGGTTCAAAAACCGTGAAGAATTGATCAAATGAATAGTGAATAAAACATCTCATATAATTTAAACTGGCCTCCTTTAGTCATTAATCAACATGTTTTAAAGGGGTCATATGATGCTTTTTTTAAAGATTATTTTAAGAAAAACATAAATCATGATGCTGTACGACTGCTGATTGAGAACAATTCTGTCTGCCTACGATTGAGTTTCTGTTATATGCTGGCTCTGTCAACTGTTGTTTCAATAAATATGGATTGAAACATATGTACGTGCTTATATTGTGGAATTACTTTAACATAAGGCTGTAATGCAGTTTGCTCTGCCTTTTGATTTATAGTTTACTTCAACGCACAGGCCAAAGCAGGTGAATGCAAAAGGAATTGTTAAAATATTTGTCAGCTTTACCCAAGGAGCCGGTGCTGCAAATAGTTTGTAAGTGCTTTATTGCACATTCACTTATCAATTCTGACCAAAATAACAGTGTCCCAGGTTTTGCATTCAACCCTGTTACGGCTTAATATTCCACTTAAATTAACAACATTAATTTAAATTTGTAAAAATTGTGATACCCAAGAAATATCATCATTTGGACTCTTTCAACAGAATGACGGCAAGCAAATAAGCGTAACCATTCCACCCTGTTACAAAGTTATTCTAAGATATTTTCTATATTTAGCCGTTTATCGTTGTAAAACAAAAGGTGCTCCCACACAAGCAAGCCCCAACTGAGTGATCTCTTAAATTAGGCTAAATTACCCATTATGGTGTAATTTAACTTAAAAAATGATGTTGCCTATTCGGTTAATGTTGTATTATTCTGTTGTTTATATTTGTTGCCATCTAAATCACACAAATTAGGGTTTTAACTTTGACATGGTTCAAAAACCGTGAAGAATTGATCAAATTAATAGTGAATAAAACATCTCATATAATTTAAACTGGCCTCCTTTAGTCATTAATCAACATGTTTTAAAGGGGTCATATGATGCTTTTTTTAAAGATTATTTGGTGTAACAGAATGGGTCCCTGTGATGTGACCCCCCCCTCTCTCTCTCTCACACACACACACACGATGCACAAAACTCCGCATTTGAACAGTCAATAGCAAATACTTAAACTAATAACCAAACAGTAGCTGATTCAGAAGCGCCAGATTGTCATAGCAAAGTCAGAATGACCTCCTCTCCTAGGTTCACGAAACGGTCGTCCATAAAATGCATTGCTGTTGTGTTGTAAGTGATCTTAAAGATTCCTAAATGCATCTACTTCTGGAAGGCCAAATAAAGTGCTTTTGCTTTCACCTAGAAACACACAGCGTCTCCCTGACATGCTGCTTCAACACTAACTGCGGTTACTGAAACCACGCCTTCTTTCTTTGCGTGCACATTTGGGCGCATTATGCTAATATTTCCACATAGTGATGTAGACGTGGGGCAGGGGCGGATTTAGTGAATTGGGGGCCCCAGACAAAATATAGGAATGGGGCCCTATACATTTGCACACATTTTCCTAGATCAACCTTGAGGTTCCATTTTGTTGTTTTCAGCGTAAGCCTGTGTGCAAAGGCTGTCTAATTATAAACTTTAGAATACATTTATTTTTAGTTGTTTTAATTACAAATTTAAATAAAACTGAAAAAATGATGAAAAGGCAATTATACATTTACACACCTAAAATACATATATCAAGAGCATGCTCACAGATGAGAACAAAACCGCGTTGGATGAAATGGATTAGAGCCCTGCACGGGTCTCAAATACTAGCCCGTCTTTTTTCCCCTCTTCCCAAAAAAAGCTTATACTACAGCTATTTCAGCTAAAATAGTTCAGTTTTGTATGTAATGGAAAAGTGATTATATTTTGTTTCGTTTTTTTATAAAGTAAATTTAGAAAAACATTTGGAGTATTTTTTGTTCTTTAAATGTAAGTTTTTGTTTTGTTTGTTTTTTAAGTAAAGTCCAGCGGCAGACAGTGAATTGATCATAGCCTATAGCCTATGTTTGCTCAATTTAG